TCAACGTTTCATTTTGGTCATGTTCTTCAATCAATTAAAAAATGTATAAGCATGTATCTGTAGCAAATTTTTTATTTATTAATGATTAATGTAGGTATTATGGCCAACCAAAAATAGACAATTTAAAATAAGGTAAAAAATAAAGAAAAATTCTAGTATTTCCTTTTTCCACTTCAATAAAGTATCTTATGCATCCCTGGAGTGCATACAGCACATTTTGGAAATCACTGTAGATAACGTGATAATAACATGCATTTTTTCTTGTCTCAGGACATTTTGCTGTCAAAAAGGGTTGTTTGTTGTTGTTGTTGTTAGTTGATTGTTATATAGGTACCATTTCATTTTGGAACACACCTCTTGATGCCGGACGTGGGTTGACCTTCTTACTGATTTTTCTTAATGGCACAATATCAAGAAAAAGAGAAAATTACTGGATAGGATTTCTTAGGGCAAAAATATGCATTAGATTCAAATGGTACACAAGTTTTACTGCCTTTCCTGATAATCCCATTGTCACATTTCATGGAATAAGGTATGTTAAGGTATTGTATATATGTGTGAATTCTGATGTGGCGTGGTGAGTGGGGTTGGGGGGAATACAAAAACTGGAAAAGGAAGTTTAGAATGGTGGGGCACATAGTGGAATCATAAAAGTACAATTTGCTTGTTTTATTTTAAATATTAATCACAATGTATCTCTTAAGTAGGGTTGAAATATTGCCAGTCTCTACGATGCTAAAAACATTATGAGGCTAATGAGAGTTTGTAAGGTTTACATTTCAGAATAATCAGATGTAACCCTGAGGGGAAGCTCGCATATTTCATCAGTAAATTCAGAAAAATGAAATTATATCAATTCTTCAATTTAGCTGTCACGTAATGGACTCAGATTTCCAATTACCTAAATGGTTACTTGATTTTTAAAATCAGATCTTTCACAGAAGCTCCAGCAATAATTTCAGGCCATCAAAATAAACTGATGTAAATTGGCTGCAAGAGGCACCATAATGCGAAATGTAACATTTTGATAATTATTTTTTCATGGAGAAAATTTCTGGTGGGAAAAAAAGTCCAATGTTCTACCCAAACTAAAAGCTAACCTCAGCGATCACACACCTAATCACTACCTGCCTCCTACCGCCACCCCTTATGTTTATGTTTTGGGCATTCCAACATTTTATTGGCCATCTGTATACCAGCTGCTGATCTCTATGTTTACTCACAGTTATTCTAAGTCTTATTGCTTAGCATTAATTTATACTGAGTTTTGAGTTTTCCACTGCCTCTAGGCATTTTCTGTTAATAAGAATAAAAACAGCAAGGATACATATCATATGCTATAATAAAGGATGACTTTATTTAACAGTCAAAAGAACTAAATTGAATGCTCTGGCTGAATAATGCAAACATATCATTAAAATTTCAGAAATCCATCATATACTATCTTTGTCCTTTTTAAAGTATACAAATATTCCAGGAACTCAACCATTCAAAACACACAAGGCCTATGTCAATACTCATTTAATAAACATTTACTGTCTGTGCCAAAGAAAGAGGATAACTCTAAAATTTAAATGCTGTCATAAAAATCAACACAATGCTCAACCACCAATAAGGTACATGTTTAAATGAACACACTCTTTCTTAAAACTCATCAGCTCTATAAGAAATATTGTCAAACGTACCCTGGCTTTTATTCTCTAAATCTTTTTATTTTTTTAAGGGAATTTTGGTGACATCATAGTTCAAAGGCATATTGTGGGTGCTTACTCACCTAGACAAGCTACAGATTAAGTTAGTGAACCAGTATAAAATAACAGACAGTTCTCCAAGCCTGGAGATAAGCAATAACCTCTTCCTTCTTCTTTCCTGATAGTTTCCTATTAAAATCTTTAACATTCTACTTGACTATATATAATAAATATATGTTTACATATGTGCAAAAAATTACGTATATACACACATGCAGAGATATTAGGTAGTAATGTTTAAAATATCTTTACTGACATTACCTTCTTTGTTTTATAATATTTGACGGTTTCATCTTCACTTTTTCATAACTACATATGAAAGTATTTAATTTTCATTACCTACACCTTGATAATTTAAATCCTATCCTACCTAAAACAAAACGTATTGTTAAAATTTATTTTTGGAGATTCTGCACTTGGACTTGACTTTCAAGATAACTATGAACCTTTCAAGGAATTTTTCCCATGAATTTATATTAGCTTGAAGAAAAAAGGAGTTTACTCTGGCATAGGTGCCTTTCAATGTTTAGTAATAGATCCAGTTTTTTATAGGAATAAGTAGTACCACTCATTTTACGAAACAACTTTAAAATTTCTTTATATTAGGGGTTAATGTCATCCAACAGGTAATTTTATTGCAATTTATGGTTAACAGCACTTTTATTCATGCTACTGGGGAGGAGCAACTAATTTAATATGTATCATTATATTGTCATATTTTCAGTTATTTTATATTTACTCCTCTGCATCACTGAACTGAATTGAATTATTTCCTTTCTTATTTTATAGTACATAGAGGTAAAAATACTCCAGTGATTTCAAAATGAGGTTTTTTAAAGTAGACCTATAAGATGAGCGTTCTTTTAGAAGTGGGCTTTAAGATTGCTTATTGATCAAATTTAGTTCATCTTCCATTGCAGCACAGAAAAACCATGCACTATCCCTTACATATTGTTTCTTTCCAGATCTATTCTTTCACACTGGGATCTTTTTCTCCTATATACTGTGCTTTTTTCATGTACTTTCAAATGGGAGACCAACTGGGTGAAAAAGACTTCATCTGAATAGGTACATGCACTGTATGTTTAGGCCACACTGACTTGCATTCATCAAAACCCAGATACCTGCACATCTTATAAAATTATGGACTCACAATATCTCAAGATTAGAAATTTAGTTGTTTTGTCTGAATGCACAAAAAGTGTTTTGAATAGAGAATTGTTTAGAGTCAGAGTATCTCTCTCTACTCCAGCTATCTGAGTTACAAAATAAAGTTGAGTTTAGCTTGCAAATCAGTCTTGTAAGTTTATCTCCATGATCTTAACAATAATTTATGATAATTTAAAAAACAAAAGTATGTGTCTCAGAAAAAATAGATTAATGGGAGCATAGAAAAGAGAGTAAAATTCCTTTACATATTGAGTATCACACCCAACTAAACAGAATCACACAATAGTGGCAGCTTGCTATTTTGCCTTGCCTATTAACTGACATAATGTGTCCACTCATCAAAACATAGTCAGGGACCACCTGCTTGAGATGTTGAAGAAGGTACATTATCTCCCTGTAAGGAAAAATCTGGGATCATTATGTGAAGGCTTTCTGCTCTTGAAAAGATGTTCCTATGACTTTAAAGCAAGCTATAAGTAGAGGTCCAAGGCAGTTATAAAGTTCAGTTTCAGTGTGATTATTCAGGTAAACTCCATCCCTATTGGTCATCTTTTAACTACGCAGACTAGAAAAAAGGAAGCAGGGAAGATGGCACCAAACTTTGTCAAGTTTAATCGTGCAAGGTTCAGTATGACATATTTTTCCAAGAAGAAAAACTCAGGAATTCATGGATTAATAAAAATTTTTTCTCCTTAGAGTTCTTCCACTTCTTTTCATTTCTTTCTCACCTAATATGAATTATTATCACTTTCTTTTGTCCTATCATTTCCAATGTCTTATCAAGATATTTTGCAGCCTTTTTCCCTACCTGCAAATTATCTAATTCATGTAGCTTTCCTTTTTCAAGTTTGAGGTAGTATTTCATGAAACAGTTTCAAGTTCTATTTTTATGTATATTGCACGTTTAGTTACAATTGTTCGGATACAACTGAACATTTAAGTCTTTTGAAGCCATCTCTTAACCTTCAACATAATTCAACTGAACAAACATTTATTGACTTCTATATGCCAGGCTATATTTGGGATACTTGGCATATATCAGTGAATAGGACAGAAAAAATTCTACCCCAGTGTTTCTCACATCTTATACATTCCATAGTTTTGCTTCACCCACCAATGGTTTTCATTTTCTTCTATGATATCCATTCTTACTACTACCACCAGAAATGTTTCAATGTAAAATCGTGTTACTGTCCAATATAAACAATAACAAAACAGGTAATACTTCAGCTGTGTTAATGTCCTAGACACCGTTCTAAGCATGTTACATATATTAACTCATTTAGTCTGCATAACAAGTCTATGGGATAGGCACTGTTTATCACCATCTCAATTTTATGGAAAAGGTAACACACACATGTAGAAAGCTTAAATAACTTCCAAGCTTGCCCAGTTAACAAGTGAAGCCTGATCAAACCCAGGCAGCTTAACCTCAGAGTTTCTGCTATTTACCCATATACACATACTGTATCTGTCCAAAATCTCTCCAGAAAGGTTTATGTAGCATTCCTTTTAATGTGGTTACTTTAATTATCTCTTTACTAGCAATCCAAAACTCAATGCAGGATCTATGATCCAGTTCAAACTGTGCTGTATATTTAAAATTAATTTAAAGCCATCAAATTCCACTGAATAATTCTCAGAGCACAGTATCTCTCCCTTGCTTAATCAATTTACCTTAATCTCATGGTCACCGATTTAAAATGTCCCTCTTTAATACTGAACTGATCATTCTTCATGTTAATTCAGAGAATTTACATCTGTTAAAAATAATTAAATTTTTCCTACAAGTGAGAGAGAGACTGTAATAAGAGAGCAGTGTATATATTTTACTGCTCCAATGCCATAACTATTTTGGGTTGTAACAAAGCAAACACAGCCTACATATCCAAATATTTCATCCTTAAAAAAAATGATTCTAATAACTGCATAATTATTTCTCCAGGAAACATAACATCCCTTTAGATAGTGGCTTTATTTGTATATTGTTAGTTGGACAAAGACCTACAACGAATATAAAGAGCCAACCTGACTACATCAGAGTAACTAAATCAATTTAAAACATAATGACAAATGTACCTGGTTCTTATTGAATCCATTGTTCCAAGCCTGTGAGCATATTCCTCATGGCTAGAAATCTGCAAATGGTGGATCTCTCATTTTTTTCTTTTTTATCGTATCCATATAATTATTAGATGTATAGCTTGCCTATCTTCCATATAAATCAGCTTGCCCTCCTCTGGATGAATAAATATCTCTTAAGATAATGAAGTACATTCTAGTTATGCCCATCTTCAGGTAAAAGAGAGACAGAAAAAAAGAAAGAAAACTCAGATACGTCACTAATTTTAAGGTTAACTCTTGGCCTTCATAGTTAAGACATATTTTTCAAAATTAATTTTACTGAGGTGTTATTTAAATATGATAAAATACTCTCATTTTATGTGTGCAGTGAATTTTGAGAAATGTATACACCTATTCAACCACCATTCCAACCAAAACAGAAAATATCCATCAGCCCCAAAGCCCCCATGTGCTCCTTCTAGTCAAGCATGCATAAATGCTCAGACTTGCTTGTGTGTCTTCCGTCACTATGGTTTAGATTTGTTTTTAAAGCATCTGTATACACAGAATGATATAGTATGTAGCCTTTTGTGTCTGACTTCTTTCCCTCAGCATATTGTAAAGATTCGTCTGTATTGTTGAGTGTATCAATAGCCATTTCTCTTGAGCGAATACCTAACAATAAAACTGGTGGACTCTATGGTAAGTATATTTTTAGCTTTATAAAAAATTGCAAACGTTTCTCCAAATCGCATTCCTACCAGCAATGTGTGAGTGTTTCAGTTGCTCCACATCCTTGCCACTACTAGGTATTGTTATCCATTCTGATTTGGGCCTAAAAATGGGTATGTGATGATAGCTCATTGTAGTTTTTTTCTACATTTGTCATCTTGATCTCCATCTGGCAAATGTTTGGCAGTGAGCCTAGACGGAGGCATTGTAGGGCCAACAAGAGGGAAACAACTACCTTCAATCCCCTACAAAGGTCTAGAGAGGACTTCATATAAATAGACTTTATGTCTACATGTCAAAAATTGATTTCCTTGGCTGACATCATAGAAGCTCACCCATGCATCTGTTCGTCAGTTAATCATGGTCTCATTTCCAATTTTTTTGATCTCAAAATTTTCTATAGATGCCCCCTCCATCTCTCAGGGTCCTTATTTGTAAAACCAGATCCTTTGCCTGTAGAAAAGTATCAATATACTGATATTCATTTATTTCTTTTCAGACACACTTCCTTTCTTTTTGTAGATCTAAGTTTCTGACATGTTATCTTGCTTCTTTAAAAGAACTTCTTTCAAAATTTCTTACAGGTCTGCAAGCAATAAATACCCTCAGTTTTTGTTTGAGAAAATTTTTATTTCCCTTTCATGGCAGAAAAACAATTTCATTAGATATAGAATTCGACATTGGTATGTTTTTTTCAACACTCTAATGGTTTCACTCCACTGTCTTCTTGCTTGCGTGGTTTCTGATGAGCAGTCTGCCATAATGCTTATTCTGATTCCTCTGTAAGGTTTCCCCCCACCTCTGGCTGCCTTCGAGGTTTTCTATTTGTCTTCAGTTTTCTGCAATATTAACATGAAACACCTAGGTGTGGTTTTGTTATTTATCCTATTATGTTCTCTGAGGTTCTGGGATCTGTGGTTTGAGGAAATCATTATCTGTTCAAATATTTCATCTGCACATTTTCCCTTTCCTCTCCTTCTGTTTTCCTAATTGCACAAATGCTACACTTTTCAATTTGTCCCATATTCTTGGATGTTGTGGGTTTTTTTCTGTTCCAATCCTTTATTCTCTTTGCATTTCAATTTGGATAAATTTCTACTGCCCTATCTTCAAGTTAGCTGTTTCTTTCCTTGGTTGTGTCAAGTCTGCTACGAGCACACAATGTATTCTTCATTCCTGCTACTATGTTTTCTTTTTTAGTTTCTAATATTTCCTTTTAATTTTTTCTTATGGTTTTCATATCTCTGCTAACATTATCTACCTGATGTGGCATGTTGTCTACCTTTTCCACTAGACTCTGTAACATATTATCATACCTATTTTAAATTCCATAGCTGAAACTTCCAACCTCTGAACCACATCTGAGTCTAGTTCTGATTATGACTTTATTGCTTCAGATTGTGTTGTATCTTGCCTTTGGATGCCCTGTAATTTTTCTGTTGAAAGGCAAATTTGTATAGGGCAATAGATAATGGCATAAATAGGCCTTTAATGTGAGAATTTAGGGTAATTTGGCCAAGATTGTGGTTGATAGATGTTTATACTATCTATATCATAAAGTTTTTAAAGTCAGATATACTAATACCATCCTTATTAAGATCAGTTTTGACAAATGTATACAGTATATAATCACCACCAAAATCAAAATATAGACTACTTCCCGAATGCAATAATTTTCATCATGCTCATTTGCAGATAATCTGCTCCTCATGCATCCAGCCCCTGATAATCACTGTAACTGTTTTGTATTCCCATAATTTTTACTTTTCTAGAATTTTATATCAATAGAATCACACAGTATTCAGTTTTCTGTTTTTCTCTGTGTGTCTGGCTTCTTTCACTTAGCACAATGTTTGAGATTCAGTCATGTTCCTCTGTGCATCAATTTGTTCTTTCTTTTTATTACTAAGTAGTATTTCTCAGTAAATACATATCAAAATTTGTTTAATCCATTCCCCAGTTAGTGGACATTTGATTGTTTCCAATTGTTGGATGTTTTAAATAAAGTGTCTGTGAACATTTGTGCATGGGTATTTGTGTGAACATATTCTCTTGGGTAAATATTAAGGAATTGGACTGGTGGAATATATGATAAGTATATGGTTAAATTTATAATAAACTACCCAACTGTTTTCCAAAGTGTTTGCATCTTTTTCCATCTCCACCAGCAATGAATAAGATTTCTAGTTTCTCTGCATTCTAGCCAGAACTTGTTATTTTTAGTCTTTTGGCTTCAGCCATTCTAGTAGATGTCTGTTCTTATTTTGGATTTAATTTGTATTTCCCTAATGCTATGATCTTGAGCATCTGTTTATGTGCATATTTGCTATCATATTATCCTCTCCAGTGAACTGTCTGGTCAAATTTTTTACCCATTTGTTTTATTTGGGTAGTTTTCATCACATTATGGAGCTATAAGACTTCTCTATATATGCTGGATAAAGTCCATTATAAAATGTTTGTTTTGCAATGTTTTCTGACACTTTGTAGTATTTTTTTCCTTAACAGTATCTTTTGAAAAACGGAATTTTAAATTTTTATGAAGTCCAATTTACCAATATCTGTTTCCTTTATGGTTTGCTCATTTGTGTCCTACCTGAGAAATCTTTACCTACCTTAAGTCATTGGATGTTCTCCTAAATTTTCTCCTAAAATATTTATAATTATACCTATTACACATAGCTTTACAATCCATTTCAAGTTAATTTTGAATAAATGCTTATCAAGGCTCAGTTTCTTTTTATATCTGCATATGGATAGCCAATTGTTTTAGCACCACTTGTTAGAAAGACTGCCCTATCTTCATTGAATTACCTTGCCAAGGTTATTTAAAATCAACTGACCAATAACTATTTGTCTAAAGTAATTATAGTAATAAGGTACTGGGTGATTATAGCATATAGACAAGTGAAATGTATGAAAGAAATGTCATAAGGCATAGGATGGAGGAATTGTTAATACTCTGTTAAAAGTTATCTGAACTACATGTGAAGTGGTAAAGCATCATTTGAAGGTATATTTAGATTAATTTAAAATGTATATTGTGAATTCTAGGGCAACCACTAAATTTTTAAAAAAGAAGTATAACATATAGTAAGAGAGAAGATAAAATAGAATCACATAAAAATCTCAATTATATTAAGATAAGGCAGGAAAAGTAGAGGTAAAAAGATGCAAAGAGCAATTGCAATGAAGAGAAAACAGTTACAAACATGGTAGATATTAATCCAACTATACCAACAACCATTTTAAACATGAATGGTCTAAATACGCCAACAAAAGGCAGACTGTCAGGGTGGATAAAATAAAAAGGCCGAAATCTATGTTGTCTACAAAAAAACCAACCTTAAATATAAAGACTCAGATAGGTTAAAAGTAAACGAATGGAGAAAGACAACCCATGCTAATACAGTTCAAGAGTAAGCTGAATTAGGTATATTAATTTCAGACAAAGTGGATTTCAGAACAAGGAAAATTATCAGAGATAAAGAGGAGTGTTACATAATGATACAGTGGTCAAACCTCCAAAAAAGACAACAATCTCCAACATGTATATGCCTCATAAAGGAATATTAAAATAAATGAGTCAAAATCTGATAGAACTGCATGGAGAAACAGACAAATCTACTATATTATTAGAGATTGCAACAGCACTCTTCCAAGAATTGATAGATCAAGCAGGGAGAAAATCAGTAAGCATCTAGATTACCTGAACAGCCCTATACTTGATCTAATTGATATCTGTAGAACACTCCATCTAAGAACAGCAGAATAAACCTTCTTAACTCACATAGCAGATTCACCAGGATAGATCACAGTCTGAGACATGAAATGCACCATAAAAATTTTAAAAGAATAAAAATCATACAAAGTATGTTATCAGACCATGATGGAATTAAACTAGAAAACAAGATGTACAGAACGTATATGTGGAACACTATAAAATTCTGATGAAACAAATCAAAGAAATAAATGAATGAGAGACATTCCATTTTCATAGATTGGAGGATTCAATATGGGTAAGATGTCAATTATTCCCAACCTGATCTGTAAATTCAAAAAAAACTCAATCAAAGTCTCAGGAGGCTGTTATGTACACATTGACAAACTATTTCAAAAATTAGTTGTAAAAGTCTATGATAAATAACAAAACACTGAAGAAGAACAAAATTAGAAGACTGATCCTACCTGACTTCAAGAGTTACTACAAAATTAAGCAATCACAACATTGTGGTATTGGGCAAAAGAATAGACACATAGTTCAATGGAAAGAATAGAGAACCAGAAATAGACCTATACAAACGTAGTCAACAGATCTTTGAAAAATGTAAATAAACTTAGACACAGACCTGACATAATTCACAAAAATTAACTCAAAATATATTACAGACTTAAATGAAAAATGCAAAACTCTAAAACTTCTAGAAAAATAGGAGAAAATCTGCATGATCTTTAGTTTGATGATGAGTTTGTACATATACCACCAAAAGCATGATTCATGAAAGAAAAAATAAGTTGTACTCTATTAAAATTTTAAAATTCTGCTCTACAAAACCATGTTAAGAGAATGAAAAGTCACCGACAGGAAAAAACATACTTGCAAGATATATATCTGATACAAAACATCTATCTAAAATATACAAAAAATTATTGAAACTCAACAATAAGAAAACAAACAACCCAGTTAAAAAATATGCAAAATATCTGTACAGATATCTCACCACTGAAGGTATAAAGATGGCAAATAAGCATAAGAAAAGATGACTAACTTCATTTGTCATTAGGAAAATTCAAATTAAAACAACAACAATGAAATACCATTACACATCTATTAAAATGGCTAAAATCCAAAAAACTAACAATATCAATTGCTGGTGAGGATGCAGGGCAACAGGAACTCTCATCCATTGCTGGTGGGAAAGCAAAATGGAACAGACAACTCGGAAGACAGTTTGGCAAGGTCTTACAAAACTAAACATAGTCTTACCATCTTTAAGAGCAGCAATCACACTCATGGGTATTTATCCACTGATTTGAGAACTTTTATCCACATAAAAACCTGTATGTGAATGTTTATAGCAGATTTATTCATAATCACTAAAACCTGTAAGCAACGTTTTTTATAATTACATGATGCTATATTTATTTTATAGTAATAATTCATATTATTTCATCATTCTGCTGATTGCAAGTATTTTGCCAGACAAATTTAGCTAGAGAAAACAGCTTTTCAGTTTCTACATAATTTTCAGTATTTGCTTCTACTCACATATTTTTCATCTCTCATGGTGCTTCCTGTACTGTGATATAAACAGCTTCAAATTATTATCTGAAGTAAAAGTGCTAAAATAACTCAAGTCTGAACATTGACTTGTCCCAGAGTCTACTCCTTGTTAACAGCGAAATTCCAATAAATAAATTTAACCCCTGACCAAAGCAACAGGATGAATAAACTAACAAGCTTCAATTCAATTTGAGTCAATAAATATTTCATTGAACCTAACTGAAATAATAAATATATATATAACATATTCTCAAACATCCTCTTCCAAGTCTAGCTCAATATATCCATTAATTCCACTGAGCCAAAACAAAATCATTGCTAACAAAACAAAATCATTTACAAAAGCTTAAGATACATTATTAAAGATAGTTTGAATACATTCTTCTGAATATTATGTCAATGGCAAGTTGCCATCCTTTTTGTTGAAGGGGAGCAAAATATGCCACCTGAAAATATGCCGCTTTGGTATATTGATTATTTTAAATTAAAGTTATTTGAGACACATCCGGTGCAAGGACACTGACCCTCTCTTGTCCCTGTGAAAGCAGGAAATCAATCTCCTGTGTAAAAGGCACTCTCCTGGCACCAGGAGGAAGAGAGACATCCTTATTACCAGAGATAGGAAATTTAGGGCCAAGAAGGCTATATAAACAAATCTAGTTACTTACTCACTAATTTACTACCTCAAGCCCAAACTTCATCATTTTGTCAATTCTTCACGAATTTATTGTTGCTTTGTCTAAAAGTTATAAAAGCTGGCTACCTTGGCCACCTTATCGAGTTTCATATTTTTAATAGGACTTCCATATATGCACAACTAAATTTGTTTTTCTCCTGTTAATCTGTCTTATGTCAATTTAATTATTAGACCAGCCAGAGAACTTAAAAGGGAGGAGGGAAAAAATTTTCCATCTCTGTATTTTTTATAAATATATGAAATGATTTGGTGTCAGATGTGGAAAAAAGGAAAGGTGTTGAGAGGTTTTTATATATAGGTTCATAATATAATTTATATATATACATACATACTCTAATTAAATATATTCATTATATATAAATGTTTATACTTAATATTTAATTAGGTAATATTATAACACAAAATAATGGGACAGATAGCATGTGGTGCTATTAAATCTTCTCTGAAGGCCATTTTACTAGGAAGAGCTCCCGAACGTTTTGAATACCATCATGAAACTAAGGATATAGCTCCTAATAATGTATGTACCTGATACTGAAACAGGCTCTTCCTTAATTCTGATTTATTGTAGCATTTTCCTTTAAGCAATATCTGCTGCTGAACAGAAAATTAACTTTTCTTCCCTCCTACTGTCATAGTACATCATTCACTCATAATAGCATTTCTCATATTTAGTGTTGTCCCAGAGGTTTTGTGTTATTGTTTGTTTTTATTTATGTGTCCATCTTGTCCACTAGTTCATGAACTATGGGAGAACAGAGACTTTCCTAATCTCTGTTTCCCCATAAAACCAGCATTATGCTTTGGATAGAGTCAGCACTCAAGAAAAATTCACTGAAGCAATAATCTCTCATTAATTTGAAGGAACAAATTATGTAAATGTATGGCAAATTCCCTACGAAAATAAAGACTTCTTACAGTTGCAAGAAATTCAGGATGTGATCTGCTGTGTGTTTTAAGGATTCAAAAAAGAATTATTTATTAATTTACTTCTTTTCTTATTTACTTACTTATTTTGAGGATATAGGGTATGCCCTCCCCAAGCACCCTGTGCCACCCTGGGTGGTCGGTCTGCTTGATTCTCTATTTGGTCGGATTTGGGTAACAGGGCCATTTGGTTCTCATACTAAGCTCTGTCTTGTAATTTAATCTTTATCATTAAGAAAAGTGCTATTTTAGCCTTCAACTGCTAACACTTTTCATATTTTTCAATTTTTTAGAACCCATGCAGGGAAGAGAGTTGCTATTTATTGGTATCCCTCACAGTCATTGTCACCAGGGACTCGATAACTATGCTACTAATTTTGGATTTATCCTAGAGACAATAAGAAGCTTTTAATAGTATTCAAACTACATGGTGTAAGTATTATATAACTAATCAGCGGTAGCAAAGGGAATGGTTGTTTATGATGAAAATGAGAAGAATAGCATTTGAGAAAATATTGTCTGAGATGATATACATCTCTGTGTACCTCAGTCTCTTGAGTCTCTGTAAATACAAGAGATGAGAAGGTTTTGAAAACCATTTCAGTGTTGAGAGAGATTTTTGGTTTTTTTAACTGAGTTTGAGATTACTACAAGCCATCTCAATGTCACTGCCCACAGTCAGTTCGAAAGATAACATGCCTCTTATGAACCTCTTCTGGTTCATAACGAGAGTATTTGTCTTTTTTCTCCACTCCAGTAATTATGCTAGCTGGGTATGTTCCAAACCCAGAAGCCAGAAGGGGAGTGGCTATGTACCTAACACCAGGAATAGGGGCAGGGATGGGGATGAAAAACACTATGCAGAACCTGTGAGTTTCTTTTATTTGAATATGCTATATAAATACAACTGGAAGACTTAAAATTCTATTTCAGTATGCTTGTCTAAAGAAAATATGTACTTTAATAAAAGTGCTGTCTTAGGAATAAATATAATTCTTCCTTACTATATACACACTAATAGTATATTTTATAGAACACCTATTCTCAGAGCTGAAAGAAACCTCAAATCACCATCTTGTCTAGCACCTTGCTAATAAGAAGATAAGACATTATCAACCCGTGTTTTATAGATACGGTATCTGGAAAGAATAAAAGCAATTATTTTAATCTACATATTTTGTGGTTCGTAGGAGCTGATAAGCA